AATACTTATTCAGAAAAGTTAGGTCAAATAAATATTTTGATATAAAACAGAGCAATTACACTTTACTACTGTTGTGTACTGATTTCTCTAGTTACCTCCTGACCTTCCCACCATCTCAGTCTTAGCCCCAATATTCCTATATTACTTAAGACATTAAAAATGTTATTTTAAATTTTTAATGAAACACAGAAAGCTTAAATAATAATGAAATGAAGATCTAACCATAAGTGTCCTTGATTTTTAAAGCTGGGCTCTTACTAATTTTAAGAAAGGAAACGCCCAAAAGCATGGTGCTATCGTTTCTGCTGATTGTGAAAACTGCAGCAATAAAAACTCCAATTGCTCATCTTAAATTAAGACCTATGATACTCCATGTGAGATCTGTATATTTATATTAGCTTTTATAACATTTGGAAGTTTTGTTGTCTGCTTTGATGTTAGTCCAATAATAAAGCAGAGTCAAAAGCCTGAAAAAATTATATTTATTGGAAATTCTCAAGTTAAAACCTGAAGTAACTGGTTTGTTCTACCCCACATGATACAATATTCTGATTTCCCCAACTACCTGCTCCCAGAGCTATCTTCATTTCTAAATTTGTTTTCTGTTGCCAACACATACTAACCCACAATGATTGAATATGACAGCTGAAGTGCTTCTACATAACACATTAATTTTTCCCTAAGTATTACAATTTTGTCACTGAAATGTTCATCTTCTCACTGCATTTCACCTTCATAGATTTGCTGAATTTGGGATCACCAACACATAAAATGAAGAGCAATGTTTTCAAGACAATTTTAGATTATTACTAACAGCTCTAAGAATGTGTTTTCTTTATAGCAGTCTTCATTCAAAGCAGACTAGTAAACAGCAACTTAAGGGCAGTAATGGCAATTATGTCAATGTGAGCATTTTTACCTCTAAAGCACCTCTTCTACAACTGAAGGGATCAAATAAACTATCATCAAATTATTTCAGAGTAATATGTACAATTTGAATGCCATTTAAAAAAATTCAATCTGAAAGAAATTATCATCCTATTAAACTGAAAACTAAAAATGTTAGGCAATTTTAATGATTTTCCCCTCCAAAGTTGTTTATTAGAGTTAATTTTCACTATTAAAATAAAAATGAGTCGTCTGAGCATTAAAAAAAGCCTTCCTCCAAAGAAGTAGTTATCAATTCACGTTCAAAATCAACCAGCCATCTAAAAACTACAAAAAAAATGAGCTTACAACCCTCCAAAACCTTCCCTTAGATTCAGCTCCTTCTTAAAACTAGGTTTTAGGAAATTTTAAACTAGGTAAATAAAACCAATACTTCCCCAGAAGTTTAAGATAAAAGTTCTTCTCCCTTGACCCTTCTGTCTGCCATAAAATGACCCATATGACCCAATACTTGTTCTTGTTTCTTCATTCATGAATATTGAGTTAAAAGAAATTCAAAGAACATATCTCTCTGGAACGTTAAGAACACATTGTGAAAAACGCTATACATAGTAAAAATAAACCAACTGTGAGCTGAATTTTTTAATTCACAGTTTGATAAAATACAACTTGTGGCAAAATGATATTCAAATCTCTCCTAAATACAATTGACAAAAAAATCACTTACAAACCTTTTTCAAACTAATACTGGCAACAGAAGTTTGCATTAACAAAGCTGATGTTGAGTTTTTAATATTCAAAACCCTGAACTGATTTTTCCTATTAACTTAGCAAGTGTATTAAAATTGTTTCCTAGGTGTGTTATCACAAGGTTTCTATTGTTTTACAAACTAATTAAAAGCCTTTCCCATTGTACTAATTATGAAAAAGTGTAGGCCCTATAAAAGTATTAAGTTAGAAGGAAAAGCTTTCTTTCTTCCACTGAAGGGACCCCAAAAAACAGGCAACAGTGACTATCATAAAATAAAGGTCACCCTTTTTCCAGGAACAAACCATTTATCAATAGAAAAATAATAGTCTTGCCATTTGCAAGGGCTCCACGGCAATAGACAATGTTTTTCGCTCACGTAATTACAAAACAGTAAAAGTTCAGAAACACAGCCTGAATCCACCTCCCTACTTTTACCCTTTACAATTCTCATTGCCCTTTGGGCCTCCGCTTGGAAGCAAATAGAAGACAGGCTGAAGTTTTCTCAATTGAGCTGATGCTAAGAAACCTTTGATATGCTAATAGCCCCTTCAAACGGTAAGAATTCACACTTGCATTAATTCAAACAATTTGTGCAGAATGATGTGAAATGGCACGTCTTTTAGAGGCAAGTAACAAAAGGAGAGAACCGGAATATCTGAAAAAACTAAACAACAGAACATTTGTTCTGCAGTATTCTATCATTGCACACATTTATTGGAGGGTGGAGGGAGGAACAACAAAAAGTTCCATAACACACCTGAAGGGAAGTAGATCTCTTACAAACGGTTTCAAGTGTTAGAAAGATAGTAAATTTAAAGTTACAAAGTTACCTTTTGCCTAGGTCAAGTGCCCCACCACAACTTGGAATGTTTCAAAAAAACTATCCTATTTTTCTGCATACTGCCTCCTTAGTGCCTATCTGTAAAGATTTGACCAAGACCAAACCTGATTTTAGTAAAAGACATCCCAACAGGCAATTATTTACCAAACTGATGTGACTTTTCTTCATTGTGCAACTGGAGTTGAGCAAAGAGCGAAATCGGTGGGGCCCATTCCAGACACAAACACTGACGGAGAAATGAATGGACCAACCACGTCCGTTAAATCTACGCCACTGGAAAGGGGAAGAGCGAAGTACACGGTGAAGACTGAGGAGGAAATTTAAGAATTGGGGGCGGGGGTGGGGAGGAGGAGTGCCTTAGAACCTGGCCTTTGTAAGGGGAACCATATGGCTGGTGACTGCGGCTCAGACGCTCCCAAGGCTGCTGGGAGAAGCTGCTAAGCAGCCTGACACCTTTCAAGAAACAGGAGGAAAACATTTCGTCGGTCTGAATCGAGACGACAGTATCAGCAAGAACAGAACGAGGGGACCAGGGGAAAGGGAAAGGATGAGGAGGATAGAGTTTATAGAAAATGGGGAAAGACGACCGACACCGCAGGATTTGTCCCTCCAACTATGCTTTTTAAAAGACTAAGTTAACAGAGGATAACAAATATATGTAAGACACACGTTCCTTGGCCTCCGCTTGGCGACACTTTGGCACAAAGTAAAGCTTCCAGCGATTTCCCCTAACCCGAGCCCCGTAGTTGGGCGAAACGAACAAACTTTACTGATAGCAAGCGAAAGGGGACTCTCAAGCGTGGTCCCCACTGCCGGGGGGCGTTCGTCGCTTCGCTCGCCCTTGCCTGCACAGATGGTCGGGTCGCCCCAGTCAAACAAGCAGCCCACGTTCGGTCAGCCCCAGGGTCTTCCCTTTCCGTGCGCCACCCCCACCCCACCTTTTCCTCCTAGCTGCTCCCCACCTGGCACTCCAGGCTTCCCCAGGCTCGCAGCCCCACAGCCACGCAGGAGCCCACACCCCGTTAACTTCTCCCGCAGGCCCAGCGCAGCCCGCTGCTGCCCTCTCACTGCGGGCCCGGGAGCCTCTCTGCCCTCCCCAGGGCCCGGCCTCGCCACCCTCCCGCCCCGCCGGGCCGCCGCTAATCGTTGCCAGCCCCGGCCGGCCCGGCCCCATCTGGCTGCGCTTTGCTGTCATCCTCGCCTCTCCGCACCACCGAACCACCAACCAGAAGAAACGACAACCCGCAACAACTCATCCAAGCCCTCCCCCACCGCCCACTTCCCCCTGAACTCGCTCCCAGCGCTCGGCCTCCCGGGACCGGTCCGAAGGCGGGCGGGGCGGTAGGGGACAGGGCCCCGCACCCCTAGCCGAGCAGCCCCGCCGAGGGCGCGCCTCACATTCCCCTCCCCACACTGGCTGTGAGAGCGCCAACGGCACCTTCGGACCCAGCTTTCAGAAAATCAAAAATGCATAACCCAGCCCTACTCCCCCATCCTGCCCGACCCCACCCCACACGGTGCCCCCTGCAACTAGGCTGATGCCTCCATAGACTGATGCCTCGAGAGCCCAGAGCGTTACAACTGCTCCGGAGAAAAGCAGCAGGCTGAACAGGGCTGGGAGTTTCTGCGTATCGATTTCGGAGGGAAGGTGGGGGACGGAGGGAGCAGCCGGAGCGAGCGCGGGTCTCCCCCTTGGCCCGGCCGAACATAAACAAACGTGCGAGCCCCAACTAACTCGCGGCGCCCTCCACCTCAGCATCCACCTCCGGGCGGGAGGCGCAAAGCAAACAGGTCCCCGAAGCCCGGCACAGAGGCACATTGTTCGCTCCCGCGGCTCTTACCTCGGTCTGAGAGCGCGCCCCGGGGGCGGGCCGTCTGGCGCCGGGGCCGCGCGGGGTGAGGCGCAGAGGGCAGCGGCGGCCCCGGGCGGTGAGGGCCGAGGCCGGCCGCGAGCGGGTGGCCGGCCGCCGAGTCCGCGCTGGAGGCAGCGCCGCGGCTCGCCGGCCGGACTCGGCACCCCGGCTCGGCGCGTCCTCCTGCTTGGCCGCCGCCGCCGCCGCCTCCTCCTCCTCCTCCTCCAGCCAAGCAGCCAGCGCCGGGCGGCTCCTGGGGTTAGGTCAACATTTTCCCGCAGTTTCCCACACGCCGCTCCGCGAGAGGGGGGCTTTTACACACACGCACACTTCCCCAGACCGCACGCTCCCTCAGAAAAATTTTTAAAAAATCGGAATCAGAGCGAAAAAGGGTGGCGGACGCAAAAGCCCGACAGAGGTACACAGACTTGGGAGTCCCCTCGGAGCTGGGGCCGCGGGAGGGGCGGGCAGACGCCGGCGGCGCGAAGCCAACTCAGTTTATCAGGCGAAGCCCCTCAGTCCGCCCTCCGCGCCGGCCGGACTGGCATCCCTGGTGCCGACCCTGCGGCCTGGAGCTGGAGGCAGCGGCGGCCCCTCTTCACATTTCGGGTCTCCGGGCCGAGGCTGAGCGGTGGCCGCTTGCCCCACGCAAGGCTGAAGGCGAGGGCTCGGGCTCAGGCTCGGGGAGGCAGGGAGGTGCTGAGAAGAGCCACGGCACGCACAGCAACGGAAGGGAGATGCCCCCAACAATCCCAAGGAATTCTCCGGTAAGCTCCCGATTTCGCTCCAGCACCTCTGCGTGTGTGTGTGTGTGAGCGGCGAGAGAGTGAGAGGGAGAGAGGGAGAGAGAGGGAGAGAGGGAGACGAGGGAGACGAGGGAGTAGGAAGTCCTGACACAGACTCTCGGCGAGGTCTGAACTGGAGTCACCTCCAGCCTCCTCCTCCTCCTCCCCAAATCCCCACCTACCCCCCAGCCCCCAGTTGGCCTAATCATATAAACATATCAGCGAGTAGAGCGGCAAAGGACAAATCTCCCCCTCCTGATTTTTCCAGCAAGGGGCTCAGGCAAACTCAAAAGATTACAGGCAGCTAAGTACAAAACGTGGAGCAGATAATCTATAACTCATTGCCGCCCAATGGCCATGTTCCACTCCATTTGAGCAGCTGCGGCGGCGGTGCGCCCGAGCGGGCCGGGGGAGGGGAGAGAAAGGGGACACTTACAGGCTCGAGCTGTTCGGGTGGCGGCCCGGCAGCCGCCCGAGGACAGGCCGACCCCGGCTCCGCCGGCGGGGCGGCCTCTGGGCTGTCCGGGCGGCGGTGGCGGCGGCGGCCAGGGACGCGCGCTCACGGCCGCGGAACGCGCTCCGGAGGCGGCCTGCGGTGGCTAGCGCCCCTCCTCTCCCTCCCGGCCGGCTCACCCCCGCCCCCCACCCTGCCCCGGAGCTCCGCAGCCAGCCTCCTCCACCAACCAACACACCCATCCAACCCCTACCCCCACCCCCGCCAAACTCCACTCACTGCGCGCAGGGTCCTCCGCGCGCTCCGCCTGCGCGCGCTCTCCATCCTGTTCACACACACGCACTTTAAAAACATTTATTTTATTTCTGGGACGGGGCGAAGGGTGTTGGGGAGAGTGCGGCGCTCCAGTCTCCCAGACGGGTCGCAGGAGGCTGGCCGGCAGCTCGAGGGCCCCCCTCCCCTCCCCTCTTCCCTCCAGGCCCAGGAGCTTTCTCCTTGCCTGCGCTTCGGAGAGGTGCCCGGGATGCGTCTTTTACCCACCCCGTCTCCAGGTTTTCTCTTTTCTCCACGCAGCGAGCTGGAGGCCCCGAAACTTTTAGTTTGCGCAGCCCTCCTTTTGTGTGACTGCTCCGAGGAGAAAGAACGTCTGTTCGCCGCGGCCGCCTCCGTCCGGCTGCGGCGCGCGGGGGAATCTCCAGGGTTAATGCGTCTTTGATACCTGAGATTTCCGGCGCGCTCGTTAATGAAAGTTACATTTTTTTTAAAATTGCGATTACTTTTTCTTTGTAGTTACAGAGAGCTAGCCAAACTTTGACTTTATTGACTATATTTCACAAGAACGTTTTGTTTTTTATTAAACCCACCAGGATAAGCAAAGGAAGGAAAGGAGACTACAAGGCTCTTTACTCGCAAGTGTATTATTCATCGTGCTGTTAGGTCTGTTTCCCTCATTTCCTTACATTGAAAATGCTTTTGCTCCTGTCCTCTGGCCACGCTTCCTTGCACCTCTCTGTTGGTAGTGTCAGCCAACAGCCAGACAGCGCCAATGTTGGACCGCGCTGAAGAGAACAGACCACGAAGGGGCAAATCACGCTGGAAAAATGTTTAAAAGCCAGTTAAGTGTCTGTCCCTCTGCATACGAGGAAAATCAAACCTAGATTTTTTTTAATTAAAAAAAATTTCTGAGCCGACAATGACTGTTTTCAGATGTATTTCTAAATCATTGCTTCTACTAATGATTGCAGCTATCAATTAGGGAAGCATGTTAACTTTGGTTTTCAAGAAAAACTGATTCTCGAAGATTTAAAACCTCTAAGAAATAGGATGAGACTTGAGCTTTGCTTTCAGAAACAATACGTACTTTTTGTTGCTGCAGGTATGTTGCAGTCATCATACTTCAGAAATCATTTCTAACAACAATGCTATTAAAATGTCAACAGCAGATTGTTCAAAAGACCTGAGGACTCCAAATACCTATCAGTATTTTGTCACAAAGCCAGATATTTGTGGTACTGAAGTAAATCCAGCCATTGGTCAAGTTTGTTCGTAAAATACCCTAAGTTAAAAGTACATATTTTTATGCAAATAACTGAAACATGCCCTTTAGGTTGATTCATTGTAATTCTCAAATTAAAACAAGAATCCTTAATGATCAAATCTATTGATGTTTTAGTATTCTCACCATTCCAAAAGATAAGAGGAGCCACTTAGAGCATGTGTACTTTAAACTATAAACACTTCCATTTGGACTTTGTTAGATAACGTAATTCCAATATTATCTATGCAAGATATAAACTAGTATGAAAAAAACACACTTATGCAGACTTGCGGGAAACCGTATTTTGTACTAAGTTTTTACATGTCAAAATTTATACATAGAACAGTACTACCTTGGAAAATTTAATCTGGCTACTTAAAATAGTTAAAAAGAAGGCAGTCTTACAGAATTCTTAGGAGAGGTCATATATCACAGTCTCCTTTGCAATTTAAAATCATTCAAAATTGTAAACTAAGATGCATTAAACTAATAATAATTTGAATTTACTGAAATTTTGTAGCTCTTTCTTTTGTTCATCTTTGAAGGTTTTTCACTCACTGGGGCATGATTCACAAGAAGCCCCAGTGAGTGCCTATATCAGTCTAATCCTATTTTCTTTTGGAAAGCAAAACTTGGGCTGAAGTTTGTGAGCTTAGTAAGTAATCAATAGACAATTTTTGCCTGCATTAAGCTGGCCATATGTTGGCGCATTTACTTATTTATTTAACTCTCTCAGAATCTCTGGAAGAGCCCACTGTCTACATTTCCTAAATCTGACATTCTTTGATGCTCAGGGCCTGAATGACTCACTGTGTTCCGAAAGAGACTACATCACAAAAAAATGGAGGCTGCATGGGAGGGGGTAGACTTGTCAGAAGTGGGTTAAAACTAAAGGAGTAGAAAATGCCTCATTCAAGTTTTTAATTTTAGTGTAATAGGATACATATTTTATAGAGTTCAAAGGGTTCAACACTTTTTTCCTAAGATACTAAACTTGTTATGTTTTTAAAGTTACACCTAAATGTATTCCTTCACTAGGCTAATGTTTTAAATATTAAAGAATTAATTCTTTCTGTTGGACTTCCCACACAGTAATGCTTCAACCTTCTTTGTCCACAAAGAATTGAAAAAGAGTTTTTAATTGCATTGCTACATTCAAGATTAAGCTGTTAAAGGAATATGTAAATGACACACATCCAGAAAACATAATCTGACTGACACTTCATGACAATTCAAACTGTAATTTATAACAATACAGGTGTTAGTATAGAAAAAGATGAAATGAGAAACTTAATAATGTCTGCAGATGTTAGCAAGTTAAAGGGAGTTGGAGTATGTTATGCATTCCCTACAATCCAATCAATTTAACTACTCAATTTTATTATTATTTAAGTAATGGCAAAATCATTGACTTATTCGTAATACTTGCTAATTGTTTTCTAAAATAAATTCTACAAAGGACAGAGGAAACACCCATTTCCATTTGTTTTATGTTAAATCAACATCTAACCACTCTTGGTGATTTCAATCAAAGAAAACAGAAGGAACTCATTAGCTTATGTGGTTAGAGAGATTGATGGGCTTCAAACATTTTAACCATACATGTTTTTAATTTAAGCAACATTAAGAAACTGAAGATTATTTTATTCAATGTGTTCACATTATTCTGATACAGAAACTATGCTAATTTTTAAAGCTGTTTACATTATCTATATCCAAGCACCCTTGTTTTAAGGGAATTGATGAAGTACTTGTCAAAATACAAGTATGAGTAACAGTGGTTTTGGTACCAAATTAAAGAATATAAGTAAGAATATGGGCATGGTTGCAAAATATTGTGATTAGTATAAGCCAGTAGAATACAGTGAGAAATTTCTTCACTGATCCACCCTAGCGAACTTGGATAAGAAAAGCCAGTTCCACAAGGGACTACATAGTGGTCAGCTGGAATGGGTTAGGAGAAGACTGGGGACTTGCTAATGGGCCAAAAATTATGTGATGTTTTTTGCTTCACATCTGTAGAGAACTGTCAATGAGGGTAGGTTTTATTCAACATGGGACCATATTCTTGCCTATGATGAGACCTCTGTGAGAGTTCTAAAATAAGCAAACATGTGAGACCGGTCTAGTTTCTAATACAGAAAGAGAAATAAAATTAGCTAGATTTCATCCTAAGTTTAATCAGTTCTCTTTTCTTCATCATTACTGCTCAGTGATGCTTAATGTTGAAACTAGTTTTCCCTACTCTAGAAAAGAAATACTTTAAAGCTCTAGAGCAGATCAAAGCAATATGTGAATACCAAACTTAACTAGAACTGGTTGCAAGTTTGCTAGCGTTCTTTCTCATTTTAGTTTTGCCGTGAATATAGACTGAAAAGAAATCAAAACTCGTTTTCCATGAGAGCAGAAACATACGAAGCATTTGGCAAAGCCAGTAAGTTTTAAGCTATTTTCCCTGCCCTCCCCAGGTTGAGTATATCTTTGTCCAAGAAGGCCAAACCCTATCCAAAATGTTACAGTTTCTGAAAGCAATGCCACTTTAAATTATAGTAGAAATATGATGATGACTTACTGTGTCTAATGATGCTATTCAGAAGTACATAATCACATATATTATCAAATACCTATCATTTTATAATTAATACTTTTTAAAAACATGCACCAATACAAGAGCACCATGATAGCATGGCTCTTTCTGTACACTTAGTGTTTACATATGTATGCCTATATATAAAAGATTGTAAGATTTTTATGATTACCATCATGATACTGAAAAATAAGCAAATTAAAAAATAACCCTCATAATCATTGTTCCACTGAGTCTTGCACAACTCAAAGTCTTTCTTTCCCATAGGTTGTTCCCCTAACTCTTTGTTAATCTCTATACCTTGAGGATTTTCTGTAATTGGGTCTTACAGATCTTCTATGAGTTTCTGTAAAACCATGAAGTATAATTCTAAGAACACTTATTTTATGCAAATCTGTCTATAA